CTGCTCTCCAATTAACCAAATATCCCCAAAACCAGGAAAACGATTGCTTTTGCATAATGCATTTGCATTATGTCTGGGTTTTGGATTCCCATATGGCATGAACCTAGCCACCGTGATCTCTAAACCATGATATATAAGATAGCATAGTTTCTGAAAAAGCCAGTGTATTTGTTCAGGACTGGAAGCAGGAATATCTAAACTCTAGCCCTCTCTTAAGCATGGAAACTCACTGGATGACTTTGGGCAAATCACTCTTGGCCCTAAACTGGGAGATCAAAAAATATCTCCCTACTAACCATACTGGGCCAATGTGATAGATTATGATCCATAACCTTCAGTTTAGAGGACTTCATTCTGCAATGGATTCAGAGATGGGTTTCAGCAGGTCCTGACCAGTTCTGAAGAACCGGTTGTGGAAATTTTGAGTAGTTCGGAGAACTGGTAAATATCACCTCTGACTGGCCCCGCCCATATCTATCCTCTGCCTCCCGAGTCCCAGATGATTGGGAAGAAATGGGGATTTTGCAGTAACCTTCCCCTGGAGTGGGGTGGGAATGGAGATTTTACAGTATCCTTCCCTGCCACACCCACCACGCCACATCCGCAGAACCGGTGGTAAACATTTTTGAAACCCACCACTGAGTGGATTGATTTGTGCTGATAATTCCTGTCCAAATTTAAGTTTATTCTATAATTGAAAACATGTTTAAGTAACTCAACACATTATTGAGATAGTTCCAATAATCAGGAAACTACTGTATATGCAGTATGTTTAGTTACTATTAAGGAAATAACCATTGGTTTCCCTTTCAACCAGCAATTTCTCTAGCAAAAGAAAGCTGAGACAGACAGCCTGTTTCCAAATTCAGAATGAACGTATAATTTGATGACAGCATAATAAACTGTGGATTGAGGTGGCATAATAAACTGGTTTAGCTTAAGCCATAAAAATAATAATTTACAAAGCAGGAAGGTTTGGATGGAAGCAACACCAGCCAGAAGCTGAAGATTCTGGCATCCAGCCCAGTATTTCTCCCTCTCAAGTGATACAGATGGAATGTTCTCAAGAGCTCCCAAGCCTTAACCAGGAACTTATTAAAGTTTATTTGTTTAGAAGCCTGAACTCACAACCTGGAAACTCACTCTTTAATTCAACTGAATATAACTGGGATGCTTAGTGAGCAACTCACAATCATTTCTTCATTTGTAGCACAAGCACAATCTTATAAATTGTCTTAGGTGTTCTTTTAATGGCGGTGGGCCATTAATCCTTTAAGGCGAATAGCACATTCACGGGCAACTATGGAGAGGAGGGTGAAGGGGAACTAAATAATGACACATGTAATGAAGACATCACTTCAGTGCTGCTACATGTAATTGCAATCCTGAGTGATTTTGTCATTTTGCCCTCGTTTGCCATGCATATTGCCAGACACTGAAGCTCTGATTCAAAACCAGATTGAACATGTCATCACATATAGAGAGGCAGGGCAGACATTCCCTATTAGAAGTCTGCCTCCACTAAATTTTGAGCCTTTCCCCAAAGAGCATGAAAACTGACATCCCTCAGGACCTGCAGCCAGGGAAACTTAAAATTTTATAGATGGGAGGAAGACAAACTGAAGGACCATTAAATCCTATGACAGTCTCTGAATGAACTAAGGACCAAAACTGTTAGAAGCCAAAGGAAGGAATACAAAGTCAGTTTGTATGATCAGGGTCAAAATAAGACATATAAAATTCTAGAAACTCTTTACGGACTTTTAGTTGATAATCTGGACACTGGACAGAAACATTAATCTTTCATCAATTTGTGAATGAATAAGGGAAAGGCTATGGGAAGAAATGATACATGTATATAAATTTTAGAGGGTGGATAAATATTAAGATTGTTTGTACTTGTGATGAAGATCAGAAGTCATTGTTTAAATATTTTTTCCTATTTCCTTCTTTCTTTTCCTTTTTTTCTTTGCACTGTACAGTTCCTTTTTTTCTATTCTTTTCGCTCTTTCTGATTTCAATTTGTGTTATATTTTATTATTGTTAAAATCCTTAATAAAAGTCCTTAATAAAACTTTTTAAAAAGGTTTCCCAGAGGATCATGGCTGAAGATATCTGTTTTGCCCAACTAGTTTTAGTACGTTTAGTACGTTAGGTCTGTTTTCTTGCCCATCACTTAATTGTAGATGAAGTCAGTCATATTACAGAGCTGGTATTTATCGATAGCTTTTCTAGGCACTTGAAGATATACTGATGGACTTGCAAGTGGAGGTTTTGAACATTTTGAGAACCAGCTTCTCTCTTTTTTTTTTTAAAGCACCAATTGCTCTGTCCAAAGGCATTGTGCAATTCCCTGTGACCCGGATCACATGTGAATAACACCAGCAACATAACGAAGTTGCAGCTCTCCCTGCTCCCCATCTTCTGGACAACTTCTGCAATCTACATATGGCGTACTTGGTTATAGAATAAGAATTTCAACAAAAAGAGGAGTGCTAAAAGTCATGTGCATTGGCACATAATGATTTGAAATGGATATTGTTGATTTCCGTGGATTGCTTTGCTGAAGCAGCAGAACTAGATTCGGGGGTGGGGGCCCTCCTCCTGGTCAGAATAAGCCAGACTGCTCTTCCGCAGTGTTATAATGATGCAGATAATTCTGCTTCTCTCCCCAAAACCCAAAGAGAGAGATCTTTGGGCCTATCTGGAAGGTCACAGCTTCTCCATCCATGCTATTTAAAAAAGGCCCTTTTTCAGAACTGTAAAGCTGGCAAATCCTAATACTCAGAGGATCACATTGCTTATTCCATGGAATTGCTTATTCCTGTTAAGACTTCTGCTAAACTGACCAATAAGTATGAAAACACAGGCAGCTATTCACAAAAATGTAGCTAATAAATGAATACGGAATGGATCAAAGTCGGACTGTATAGTTATTGCCAAGAAAGGAAACCAGTCATTTTTCTGTAAACCAGCTGACACAAAGCAACAAACACTAAAAATATATTATTTCCCCTGAAAAGCATTCCTAGGAAGAGCAATGTTTATGTTAGGAATTTCTAGCCTTTTACTATGGTTCAGTGAAAAATATCTAAATCTACTTAAGAATATGAATTATTAGACAAACAGATCTGGCCAATAAAAACCTAAAAGCCCACCGAATAGCTACAAACCCTTTGCTGCTGTAACGTGATCATCTATATATTTGTACTGAAAATCTACTGAATATATCTGGTTAGTGTATCTTTTGCCTTTTTTTGGACAAAACTTCCTTGTTACCTATAGTATCAGTCAGGCTAAGTTGTAGAACACAACTCATTGGTACGTGTCAGGAAAAACAATGAAATGCAGACAGGCTTAAAAACCATTATAAACAAGTCCCAAACACGATTTCTGCCTCCAGCCATACCTTCCAGCCTCCGAATATTGAAACTGAGCTGCTTTAACTAAAACGCTTGGAATGCAACACCTTCTCTGTGGAGACATTTATAACAAGTCTTCTCTGCTGATAACATGCTCACTTCTAGGAGAAGAGCTAGAAGTAAATTTCTTTTGGGCAGAAGATACGATTTCCATCCGTCTCTTGTGCCAAGAGACTCCTGGTAGGAGTTGTTTACTTTTGACTGTGTGAGAGAACTAATTTTCATACTGGGCTGCAAAAATCCAGATGGCCAAGTTGTTCAGACACTTTTGATTCTTTGTGGCCTAGCTGACAAACTTTTGGCAGGACGTTATTGGAGGTCAGCAATTGTTCCTTTGAATCTTTGTAAAACACACACACACACCTTTTTTAAAAAATCCCCTTGGGTTGGTTTTCCAGAGTATCTGGGTCTTCTCCAAATGATCCTTGCCCTGCCTTGAATTATATATCCAAAGTATTTAAGCTATAGCTTCATCATTAGGTCTCCTAGTCTGGATTTACTTCATCCAGGACTGATCCAGTTTTCTTTCAGGTCCAGGGTTCCTAACAATTTTCTCCAGCAATGGAAAATTATAAGCACCCCATTTCTTTGAAAGATCCATTTTATCTACTAATAAGCTCTTTTATCTCACCCCATGAACCAATTATGTGATTTCCTGCTTGCTTACCTTTACCTCTTCCCTCTGTTCTGCTTTTAGGTGATTAAAAAAACCCTGGACATCCAGGTTCCTAGCATTCATATTTAATTTGTATCTCAAATTATTGTAATCTATTCTGATTTCATTCTAGATTGTATTTTACTCTAATTTCATTTTAAATGAATCGTGTTTTATTCCTATTCCAATTTCATTTTAAATTGTTTTTACCAAATTTTTGTAATAATTGTTTCTGGAGCTCTGCACTTTGATATGGCCTAAGAGCTAATCAATAAATAAAGATTAGATTAGCATTCAGTTTATTTCCTTGCTTCTCATGGCAATTTCCTACCAGTTGCTTCTCATTTCCCGAACTTCGCTATACCTGCCCGCCTCCCATTACACTAGCACTCACTTGTCTCAGACAGTAAATATTCAGACTGCCATTCCTCCCGAGAATACATAAATTGGAGTTTCTCATGTTGGTTACTAGTGCTTTAGCATTTGATGAACTTTACTACATTCAGAATGACAGGTGAGGTTTTTAAAGGCTGTGCAAACATATCCATACCCACACAAATAAATAAAAGTCGAGAGAATACAGTGCAAATTTCACAGAATCGTTTTCTGCAACCAGGTATTCTCCTCTATATTTCTATTACACACACTTAGCTGGGAGATCAGGCTGTTGCCTGGATAAGCCACGAAGTAAAAATTAGGTTAAATTGTTTTAAGAATCTGACTCATTCACCTGAGAGACCGACCACACCTTGCTCACTCATAGCGTCTGTTTCCTGCTATTGCTGTTAAGAAATAAGTTCAAACAGTTGCAGAATGTATATATTGCACACGCACGCACTCACACACACACATATGGGACCTTTGGGATTTCCCAGCACTTCTGTTGCATGTGATCTGATAATGGACTCCTCCTTCCACAAACGTAATACAGTATAATGATCTTAAGTGTTCACCCGAAACTTTTCTTCTCCAGAAGATTAAAAATAATCACAGTGGACCCTTCTGAAGAAGCCACATTGAGATCATCTGGACTTCCAGGATAAAAACATGAGAAGAAAAGGTCCTCATTCCCCATAATCTGCTAGTTGGATTAATTTATAAACCACGAATGGAGGTAAGTCCCTTTTAATTTTATTTCGGAACAGATCAGGATCTCTGCATGGATTTCTTTGTACTTGGTCACTGCTTGCCACATTGGCATATTTCAAATAATATGAGTGAAAGAAGCAGGGAGGGGAAGTAATGAAATGACAAGCTTCATTCTTGGATTCCCCACCTCTGGCAAGTTGTCAAGCCCAATATACTTTGTTATCTGAAAGTTAGAGGAGATGGTAGTGCTCTGCATATTCCAGACTCATTTTAGCAGAACGAATCTCATCGGGGGTGCATTTGGAAGGCAGAGCTGAGACTTTTGAGAGAAATAGCTAAGGGAAACCTTACTTGTCTATTCCCCAGCCAACCTCCAACAAGGGAGGCAGCTGGCCATTTACCCATCTCATAGGAGGGACAACATTCAAACCCATCCTATAGACCTCTCTAGCATAAGCAAGCTTTCCTTTGATTGGGAATATCACAGGCCCCCCACCTCCTGCATAACTGGAGTTGGCATTCATTCACTAATAACAAGCATTCCTATTGCTAACAGAATTAATTAAATTACAATCCTGGCCCAATGCATGGGAGAAAAGCCAAATCATTACAGCTATATAATAAAACATCCATGACACATTTAAAGTATTACAGATATAAACTTTCAGGAAAAAAAAATCTAACAAAATATAATTAAATTATAGCAATGAAGCAGCTGACTTCAGTAGCAATTGATCTCATAATATGGGCCCTGTCATGCACAAGACCAAATCGGCTATGGATTCCAAGCCTTTCCTTAGTGGGATCTGTGAAATATGCCATCCTAATGAGCTGAGACTTCAGGACAGATTGCATGGGAGCAGGTGACAAATGATTTGGATCTAAACTATGTTAAGGAAACCTTGAAATCCTGTCGTTTCAAGGCTGCCCTTGGCTTGCTGCCTTCTTGTATAGATTGTACACTTTTCTGATGTGCCTAATCGAATCATAACTGAGGTTTTCATAATCTACTATCAATCTTCGTACGCTTATGTTTGATGACAGCACCAAGCATGAAAAACATTCTGTGTAACAAAGTCATTAGTAGTTGCTATCACAAGACCAGAGTATCTGTCTTGTCCCTCTTTTAAGTTGAATCTTTTTAATGTTTCATTCATGGTTGTCAAGAAGTTGGGGAATTTTCCAACAAGGCAGAGAACCTAACTTTCTTCCAAGCAAGGGAGCCAATTTTTTTAAGGGCTTATAGTCCTGGGATCTTTACCTTAAATTTAAATTTTTAATGATCCTTCCGCAGGTTCACCTACGGAAACCTTGTTACGACTTTTACTTCCTCTAGTTAGTCAAGTTCGACGGCCTTCTCGGTGCTCCGCCAGGGTCAAGGCCGACCCCGCCAGGGCCGATCTAAGGACCTCACTAAATCATCCAATCGGTAGTAGCGATGGGTGGTGTGTACAAAGGGCAGAGACTTAATCAACGCGAACTTATGACCCCGCACTTACTGGGAATTCCTCGTTCATGGGGAATAATTGCAATCCCCGATCCCCATCACAAATGGGGTTCAACGGGTTACCTGTACCTATCGGCATAAGATAGACACACACTGAGTCAGTCAGTGTAGCGTGCGTGCAGCCCCGGACATTTAAGGGCATCACAGACCTGTTATTGCTCGATCTCAGGTGGCTGAACGCCACTTGTCCCTCTAAGAAGTTGGACGCTGACCGCTCGGGGGTCGCTTAACTAGTTAGCATGCCAGAGTCTCGTTCGTTATCAGAATTAACCAGACAAATCGCTCCACCAATTAAGAACGGCCATGCACCACCACCCACAGAATCGAGAAAGAGCTTTTTCACAGGATCTTTACCTGTGCAGCCCTAAAAGGATGGATCGTTTGTTCATGTATAGTGGAGGGGAGAAATGGTACCCTAAGCTGTTAATATCTTCAAAAGGAAAAAAAAAATCTAACTCAGCTTTTATTCCATAGTGGAAAGGATAAAGCTGCCTTGAAACAGGGCTGGGTCACACCCCTGCTGCCTGCCATGACAAATCAATGGTCCCATTCATATGTGCAAAACGTTCAATGGAAGGACCATGTGATTTGAGTGTGTGTATAACATTAGTGACAGAACGTGCCAGAAGTCATTAAGATAGCATAGAGAGCACAGCCCTTTCTTCTAAGTAAAATGCCATCTGAGGTGACTTCCTTCTTTTTACCTAATGATAGGGCCATTCCTGGCTTTCTATCAAGCTGAATCCAAGCATTACACCCATTTTGTTTTTTTATACATCATGTAGTTGACACCATAGCTTTCTGTGCAAACACCTTTTAGATAAACAATCGTGTGGTGTATTTTTTTCTTCTTCTTCTGTTCAATTGTGACGGATTCTGGAAGACTGCCTAGGAAAGTCCCTTAAATTTTCTTGGTAAGGTTTTTCAAAGGTGGTTTGCTGTTGCCTCCTTTCTAGGGCTGAGAGAAAGTGACTGGCCAAAGGTCACCCAGCTGCCTTTGTGCTTCAGGCAGGATTAGAACTCGTGGGCTTCCAGTTCTGGCCTGGTGTTTTAAACACAACACCACAGTTGCTCTCATGATGTGTATGGGTTTTAATATTTTCTTTTTAAACTTTTGTATGGGATATTATTCGCAGTATTTTTTTCTTTGTTGTTAGCCACCCAGAGTCCCTCGGGAGTTGGGCGGCATAAAAATGCGACAAATAAATAAATAAATAAATGAATGAATAAATAAATAAATAAAGCAATTAACAACTGCCAAAATGCACAGGGTGAGCAAGTTTACAGTGGCCCGATTTAAGCCTTCGATGATTCAGAATTTAAATTCATTTTACATACTGCACACATCCTGACCATATGTAAATAAGTTAAAGCAAATCCAAACTCCGTTCGGTTTCACATGTGTCATACTCATCTGGGCTGATCCCGTAGCTCCTTGGATCGGAAACATCAACTTCTACATTTACACACGTTTAAAAATATTCGATTGCCCGCCTCATTCCAGTTGGGGATAAAATATATAGTATGTGCTGTCTTATAGGTTTTTTTGTAGCAAGTTATCTTCCTCTCAAACTTGCTCAACGTTTCATCTGTTAGGCAATGAGGATGACACACCCATGGTTTCTTCATTCCCAACGACTATGTAGGTTTCCTGTGTCATTTTCAGTTGAGTTTATGGAATTCAGCCTGAGGTGAAAATGCTTCAAGTCACAGCATGTAAGAGACATCGTTCCCACAGATTGGCCTTCTATTGATGGACATTGCACATTATTACATCGTGGCCAAACCTTTGACTCAGCCAAGAACATCCTTCCTTGCTGTGGTAAGTGATGGGTGCTTTTACAGATGAAATTATTTAAGTATGCTAGGACAGCGTCTAGCTTTTGTTATCAAGGCTTTTTTAATCCCAAAAACTCAGAAGAACTTTATAGAAATATACTTATTGCCAATGAATTGTTTGTACGCAGGGGTGAAATCCAGCAGGTTCTGGCAGGTTCTGGAGAACCGGTAGCGGAAATTTTGAGTAGTTTGGAGAACCGGCAAATACCACTTCTGGCTGGCCCCAGAGCGGGGTGGGAATGGAGATTTTGCAATATCCTTCCCCCAGGAGTGGGGAGGGAATGGGGATTTTGCAATATCCTTCTCCTGCCATGCCTGCCAAGCCAAGCCAAGCCAAGCCACACCCACCAAGCCACGCCCACAGAACCGGTAGTAAAAAAATTTGGATTTCACCACTGTTTGTACGGAAATATCCATCATGGGGTTGGGCTCAATAACAAATATTTTAATAAAAATAATTATTCTGATTATGAAATAGTAGATAATAGAAATAAGCTCAGTTGCAAATTTTGGAGAATCTTGGTCAATCTATACTCAGGAGATCCAGCCTTTCCTGCCTGCTGCTTCATTGTTTAGATTATATTCTTTCTACACAATCAGAATAGCCATAGAAGAGAATGAGAAGGCAGTTGTTGTCAGTGGTGGGTTCTAACCAGCTTTACTACTGGTTCTCTTCGTGCACGTGCTTCGCGCCCGTGCATTAGGAATATGCCCAGCTGAGGTGCGGCAATTCACTCTTTCACACCTATCAGCTGGGCTAAAAATAAAGAAATATAAGGTAGGAATAACACGGTGGCGGGCGGAAGGGCCCAGCTCCTGGACAAAGAGAACCGGTTCGGTGACGTCATATCGTCACCGTTACCGGCTTGGCCGAACTGGGCTGAACCAGGAGGAACCCACCACTGGTTGTTGTACCTTCTAGCCAGTGGTGGGATTCTACCGGTTTGGACTGGTTCGGGCGAATTGTTAGCTCCGACTTTCAGCCGTGAGTGAACCGGTTCGCTCCAATTTTGAAGTGGGCCCGCCTGCCCCTGCGTTATACTCACCTATGTTTCTTTTTCCGAAGTCCAGCTGATCGGTGCGGCAGAGTCAATTGCCGCGCCTCAACTGTTTTCCATACCGGCAGCAATGCGGAAGGTGAGTTTTTCCCAAACTGTGCATGTGTGTACAGCGTGTGCGCATTTAGTGAACCAGTTGTTAAACCGGTAGGATCCCACCCCTGCTTCTAGCTTCAAATGATGCTAATTCACAAACAAATGGCCAGAAATCTCCAGGAGCTGGCAGTGATTGTGAGAATCTATGAGCCACAGTAGATATCCAACGATTCCTATTTGGACATGTACCTATGGCATTGCTTCTGATAAAATTCCTTTTGATTGGCTCCTCTGGCATCGGTGCTGTCTTTCTCCAGAAAAAAAAAATGATCATAAGCAGGCAGGTCAGCTATGAGTTGTCAACCACTGTGTCTGTCCACAATGTCTCCGAAAATCATGATATTGTAGACAATTTTCAATGGGGCTTTTCAGACATGTGCCATAACTGCTTGGCAAGATTAGAGCTGGGCAGGCAGAAATATGAAATAATATTTAACAAAAGGTTAATCAGTACCCATAAGATCCTACCAGGGCACTGTTACCTTAAATGGAAAGTGCTTCTGCAGATTTGCGTTCAAAGATGTCAATTCATTAATGTCAACCAGTTTGTGACTACAGCCTTGGGACTTTGGGTTTTTCAGTTTCAGTATACAACTGGTCTCTAAGGACAGAAGTAGATGGTTTATAGCAAACATATACGGAAACCTTGAGTTCCAATGCCTTAAGTCCACCTTGCATTAAAAACAAACAACGACAAAAATGGATTAGGCTTCCTATATTGTATTATAGGTTTGTGCAGTGATCCAGTTTATTGTAATCCTATTCGCACAATTTTTGTTGCCATGTCTTCAATCACTATCTTTCTTTCAATTTGGCAAACAATAAGTTGTTGCTATGTTGCATCCTGTTAGCATTCAAAATAACTTGTTTCCAGTACCAGGAAGTTAAAAAGTCAACCAGATCAGGAAAGGGTGTAACTGGGTTTTTTTTTACATCACTGGCAAATTTACAGTGGAATTATACTAAAAATAGAGAATCTAATATCAATGAAGTTATCAAGAATGTGGAATTACATTTTCACAAGTTAAAAAAGAATTCTGCTGGATCATGCCCAGCAAAGGTCATAAGTGCTGTCACTTAGTTGTTGCAAATTCTGTATATTCCCTTTTTCTGTTAAGTTATTATCATGTGGAAATCTACCAAGCAGAGCCTAGTATGGGATACGCATTCAGAACAAAAGACTCCACAGTCCAAAGTTTTTTATTCTTGAACTGAACAAGTATTCAGTTCTTCCTTATTAAACTCTGCCCCTGAATGACACTATTAATTTGTTATTTAGATTTATGCTCCATCTTTATTTTTTTACAACTTAAGGCAGTGTGTACATAATTCTTGCTTTTCCCATTTTCCACACAATCACAAGCTACAAGGCTGAGAAAGAGTAACTGATTGGCAAAAAGTCACACAGCTGACTTCAGTGCCTAAAGAAGGACTAAAACTCATGGTCACCTGGTTTTGAGTCCAGCACCTTGGGTGGGAATTAATATCTGGGAGGGCCTTGTAATTTCACTGGCCCTGGACAGTTTGAGATTGTAGTTTTGGATGCCAACCAAATAGGGACCAATGCTCTAGAACAGCTGTCCTGCCCTGCCCTATTGCTGATTATGGGACTCCCATCATATTTCCATCCCCTGCCACCATAACTCATGATGCTCAGAATTGGAACCCAGCATTAGCAGAAAGACATTAGATTGGGAAAGGATGCCATAAAGTCAAAAGACCGCAAGGATGAAAAGAGGATCTCTTCAGCTTGGGTAAAGACAAAGACTATCTGAATAAGTGACTTAATATAGAAAGTTTACAGCAAAAGATACCAAGGGTTCTTAAATATAAAATGGCAGAACAAACATTATTGTGGTTTCTGTTTCACCTAGTCATCAAAATGAAGGTACAAAAAAATAAATAAATGCACCCACTGAGGAAAAAAATAAACAAAAAATAAAGGCCTGCCATGGAAAGGCCACATAAAGGCATAAATACCTCTATTTTCCATGTACTTATATATTTCTTAAATATAAGTGCCACATTTTGATGAAGTACTGCATAAAATTTATCCCTTTACAAGATTTTTCTTTTCTTTAGCACCAAACCTGTGAAACATGTTAGAGCGACAAGTCCACATATGCCACTGAAATCTTCATAGCTGTGTTGACAAAGGGCATTAAAATCTTGAGCTCACATTAATGCACAATACTTTGCACCACTTCTCCCACAAATCAACAGAGAGGTGTAACTTCTAAGTGGTTTGTCGATAGTTAAATCCATTATCAAACAAAAGTAATTATTATCGAGTAGTTTATATCGTTTATATTAATAGTAGTTGTTATTTAACTATCTGGAGTTGTGATGCTGAGATGTGTGGTCATATATACTGAAACAAAAAAAGTATCCTCACATTGGCTTAATCTATTTCCCCTCCCAGGAACAAAGAAGATGCATCTGAGTATTTATTGTTCCTAGTCTATAAACAGAATCTTGCCAAACTAAACCAACTGCTGTATTTGCATAATAATAGATATTCTACCAATAGAAGAAGAAAATAGGACTCATTTACAAGATAAGGTGTAAAAATTATAACAGCAACTATGTAGGACAAAGGGCAGAAAACTAGCAATGTATATCCAGGAACACCAACTAATAGTCAGAAAACATGATGGAGATTCCTTAATTTCACAACATACAGGTAGACTTAATCATGGCTTCAGTTGGGAAACTGTGAGCATCCAAGTCCAGAAATACTAGAGAACTCCTGGAAGCCTGGCATTTAGAGACAAATCAGCCATCAACAGGCACGTAGAGATAAACAACATCTATATGCCATTCCAAAGACACAATCAAAAAGCCAAAAAGGAAACAAAAAGCCTCCTCACTAGGAGTCAGCACTCAGATAAGCAGAGATTAGCAGCAAGATTAACATTAGATCAACAATTAAGCAGCAAACAATGCCCCAGCCAAGGAATCACCAACTCAGACTAACAAGCTAATAGTAAATAACAACCTTTTCTAGGAACACCGAGACCACCTCCACTAACACTGATAAGGGAAGCCACTAGAATATGAAATGAGAGCAAGCCCCATTCCCTTCTAGCATTGATGATGCTATGTAGTTTGATGGGGGGAAAAAACAGTGGTGCTATTCAGCCAGTTCTACCCGGTTCGGGCAAACCGGTAGCGGTGGCTGTGGGATGCTCTGCGCACCCACCCGGATGTCATCACATCCCCTTTTTGATGCTCTGCACATGCGCAGAAAGTCCTGTGCATGCGTGGAGGCAGCGCGTGCGCTCCCATTCGCGAACCGGTAGCAAAGGTAATACCAGGGGTGAAATGTAAAATTTGTTATTACTGGTTCTGTGGTCGTGGCTTGGTGGTGGTGGTGGAGGGGAGGTAATGTGATTTCGGCTGAAGAGTTTGCAAAAAAATGCTTTGAAAAACCTCTGCCCATCAGGCAACTCAGCTGGGATCGTCAGAGGCTTTTCAAAGCATTTTTTTTACCACCTCTTCGGCTGAAGAGGTTGCAGAAAAAAATGCTTTGAAAAGCCTCTGACGATCCCAGCTGAGCCGCCCGATCATCAGAGGCTTTTTACTTTTAAAAGCATTTTTTTTGGTGGAAGAGGCTGTAGAAAAAATGCTTTTAAAAGTTAAAAAAAAAAGCCTCTGATGATCGTGCGGCTCAGCTGGGCATGGTGGGGGGCGCAGGGATTTTTGCTACCAATTCTCAGGTGATCCGATCTGAACCGGGAGCATTTCACCCCTGGCTAATACTACCCCTGGGGAAAAAACCTACCAAGTACAGAGTGCACCAAGGATCCCACCACTAGATACACTCTGG